TTTTGGAGAGCGAGCTTCAGCGCCACAGTGCCCCCACTTGTGTCTGCAGGGTGATCATGAGGGTGAGGCATGATCCCTGTTACCCAGGTTGGGGCCAGAAGGATGCAGGCCCCACACCCCTATTATTATGGAGCTTCAGCCCGACGGTGCCCTGGTTGCCATCTGCATAGGGGACCACGAGGGTTAGGAGGGCTCTTTGTGACAGGGATGGGGGTGGAAGGACGCAGACCCCACACTCCTGCTTGGGGAAGACCTTTGGCCAGGGGAAGGCTGTGCGGGTCAGGATAAGGCACTGTGATGGTGCAGCAGCGATGTGCCTGGTTATCTGTATCCACTGCCAATGTGCACGCAGAGCCATTCCCAGCCAGGTGCTGCCTCGCTGTCAGTGGTGTCTGCCAGATGAGACTGGGAAGCTCTCCAAGGCCAGCGATTAGCCCTTTAAGGAGCAAGACCTGCAGGCAGTGGGGAGGCTCCAGTAGGAGCCCCTGAGTCAAAGCGGGACAGCAACAGGGAGCAGGTGGGCCAGGACACAGAGCCGCTGCCCACCAGCAAGTGGGCGGTGGGGCACCAGAGGAGCCCTGCAGAGCACTCTGGGGGAGGAAGGACTGAGGAGCTTATTGGTGTGAGTGGGAAGAAGTAAGAGTGAAGCCTTGGGAAAAGGACCCAAGCCCCATCCCAGGTGCAGCCTCCTTTCCCCCAGTATGGCTAAGTAGGCCAGCAGCCCGCAACCCCACCAACACCCCGGCACACCCACAGATGCACTCACAGGTGCGCACACAGCTCCCTGATGCACACTCACAGAAGCACACAGACAGTTTGGGGATGATTTCAGGTGGGTGCAATGTGTTTAAAAGATCGGAGCAAACCAGGAAACCTGGGCTGAGGTGAGAGGGAGCTACTGGCTGCTTAGAGATTTGGAAATCAAGTCACTTCTTGTCAAGCCTGGAGCATGACTGGGAGTCCTGGTTCAGGCTGATTTGGGGGGCTGCCTGGAGATGCCTTCAGGCCCTTTTAGGAGTCTCAGGGCGGATCCTCAAATTGGCCAGGCACTAACCCTGGAAGCTCTTTTGGGCAGGGATCGTTTTACCCAGCACCCGGGGCCCACGTCTGCCCTGGGCTCCTTTGAGCCATTACAGCAGTGATGGAGCCCTCCGGCGGCAGCTGTCTCTGCTAGTCCTGGCCTGGGACACAGGCAGGGGAACAGCCCCGCAGCCGCGTCCTGAGCCGTGGGCAGGATGGCAGGGCCGGCCGTGGGTGTCAGAGCCCAGCCTGGAGTCACCGAAGCCTGTGCCTTGCCAGGGCAGTTGTCTCTCATCCCCTTTGTTCATGCAACCCCCATCCCAGCCTCCCTGCTGGGGATCCCTGAGGCCGAGCTCAGCGCATTTCCGGGAAGAAGAAACACCGCGCGCTTACTGCACAGGTGGGCGGTTGAGGCCATGGAGAGGAGCAGCATCAGGAGGGGGAGTTGCGTCATGATGGACTTCACAGCTGGGAAAAGAGGAGAGCAGGGGGTCAGGAAGCCGGCCGGCAGTGGGTGGGCAGGTGAGGGGGAGAGAAGGGGCGTGCGTGGGCTGGGGCCCTCCATCGCAGCGGGACAGGCTCTAACCACCGCTGTGCTCTCGGCTTTTTAAAGCCTCCAGGCCTTTGTGCAAAGTGGAACATCTCCCGCAGGAGAGAAAGGGAGCGCTTCCCAGACCTGGCCTCTGGCCTGATGGTTAGGGGGCCCTGAGGCTCAGGAAGCAATGGACCCACTCTCACACCCTCTGGGCCAGTTCTGCATTAGCTCTCCCCTCTTTGGATATGTTTCTTTTTTTCTACCTTTCCTTCCTTCCTCTCTCTTTCACTTTACGATAAGGAATTGTGTTTTAAAATTTGTATGTGTGCATTTTGTATCTCCCCTTGTATTTTGGTATTTTTTATCTATTTGTGTGCCATGGAATTTGTAGCTAGAACGATGGAGCTAAGGCCATTTAATGCCCTCCTGAGAGGCTCCACAGGGGGATTGACGCCTCATGTTCCCGGGGGCCCCGATGGACAGGCCCAGGGGGGATGCTTGGGACTCACCAGCTCTGTAGGTCCCGAGTCTCTCGCCAGCAGATTCCTAACCGGGAGAAGGATGAGTCTGTGGTCTTCCTGCCGCCCTGCTTTAAATAGGCTACAGGCAACGTAGTGCAGGGAGTGGAGCTGAGAAAAGCAAACACAAGCTACGGGGAGGAAGTCCCACGAGGGTTAACGACCCCTGGATTGGGAAACCTGAAAACTGGGGAGTCCCCAAAGTCTGCCAAGGACAGATAAAAGGCAGTGAAAAGTGACCCTCAGTGGCGCCCTCTTGATCTCCAACTCCAACATTCCTGTCCAGCCAGAAGGACCAGCCGGCAACCCCCTTCTGGAGGATAACACCACGCTAAAAGAAGCCTCAACTGGCCATTGACGGCAGACTCCAGCGCTTATAGGATAGGTATATCTGACTCTGTAGCTTGCTACTGTGTGTGTATGTATGTGTGTACATGTGTGTGTGTGTGCGTGTGGGGACCAGCCCCAAGGTTTATGATTTAACTCATTACAGTCTTTCAATCCGCCTAATAAACCAGAATTTTAAGGATCCCGAGTTGGACATTTGTAGCCAACAACTGCAGCACCTTGGTGCCTTGAGGTCCTTTCAAGGGTACTGCAAGAGGCCACACAATGTGAGCACTATTAGGTGTGCAGACACGATTCACAAGATAAACCCAGAGATTTCAGATCGGACTGCACAGTGTTAGAAGCATACTGTCCTGATGTGATCTTTCTGAGCTCTTTCACTCCCTTACTTCTCTGTAGTCAACAGCAGAGGGAAAACTGAGAGCTGAGGGTGTCTAAAAAGGTGGAGAACGATGGAGCTAAGGCCATTTAATGCCCTCCTGAGAGGCTCCACAGGGGGATTGACGCCTCATGTTCCCGGGGGCCCCGATGGACAGGCCCAGGGGGGATGCTTGGCACTCACCAGCTCTGTAGGTCCCGCGTCTCTCGCCAGCAGATTCCTAACCGGGAGAAGGATGAGTCTGTGGACTTCCTGCCACCCTGCTTTAAATAGGCTACAGGCAACATAGTGCAGGGAGTGGAGCTGAGAAAAGCAAACACAAGCTCCGTGCGGTGGAATTGCCCCCAGCCAAAGGGTCAGTGCGGTTTCCAGTAACCAGCTCAGCCAGGCCAAATCTTCCTTGAAGTTGAATTCACTGATGCAACATGTGCCATCCTGCCAGGGACCTCCCAGCTTACGCAAGAGCAGGGGCAGACCTGTCATTAGGTCCGACTGCTGCATTTGACCAGGTGCCAGAGCTGAATGGTCCTGAGCCAAGAAACCTGCAGTCCTTTCCATCTGTAACAGAGGCAGTTTAAAGTGGGAAACTTGACATTTCCCATTCACTGAAATAGGTTTTCAGCCCCTGGGATTCAGGAAAGCTTCCAGCCATTCAGGACAGTCAGTGGGGCAGAAAAGTCTTTTTCTTCAAATGCTTTTAAGTGCTGTGTGGCACTTCTTTCTCCTCCGGCACTCGACAGAAGTGTCCTGATCTGGCTTCACGGGGAAGAAATGAGGCCCAAAGGGAAGGAGCAGCTGCCAAGTAATTACTGACTGCTGGTCAGCAACAGAGGCCAGAGCAGCACTCAGACCTCCTGGCAGTGGGGCTGTGGGTGAAAACTTCGTCCCCGGGTTCGTTGGGCGGAGGCTCAAACAAACAGGCCAATCGAAATTTAAAGACTTAGTTTAATAAAGGATGCATTCCTGGTCAGCGTCATGCACGAATTCAGAATTTTGCCATGAGGTCTGACTCTGAACATAGGCAGTGAAGGGGTAATATAGAAAATGTGACGTCATAAGCATAAGAACAGTATAAACCAATCAACATTAGCCAGGACGCAGACAAGTCTGCACATGTCTTCAACTTGTTACTGGAGAAAAAAACTAGTTTAAACCAGTCTGTAACAGCAAGGTCATGACCTGGCTACATGACTCGCTCACAAACAAAATGGCAGACTGGAACCATTTTGTTTTTCCCCTTCATTTCCCCACTTTGATCCTTCCAAAGGACAATCACTCTATTTCTATTTGGCTCAGGTCTGTCCATAGTTTCTCTTGCTCTATTTCATTATTTCTTAGTTCTAACACCATGTTTTTAACCGTTTCTTTGGAAATAGATGAGATAGTTTGTTCAGCCTTTTTAACACACAACTTTGTGCAACATAAAACTAGTTGCACAATCACATACAAACTTAACCCTAAAATTAAAACCATACAGAAAGCAGACATTATTTTCCCAAGCAGACCTTTGAATAATCCCCTAGGATCTAACCAAGCAAACCAATCTACTGAAGAATTGTTGGGAACGAAGGCTGCTTCAGCAGCTTTTGCAGCATGAACCATCGCATTATTAACTCGGTTTTCTACTAATTCAAAGGTACTATTTACATAAGTGCAACACTCTTGGCCTATTACAGCGCAGGCATCCCCTTCTGATGCTAAAACATAGTCAAGGGCTAATCGGTTCTGCATAACCATCAGTCGTAAATGATCTTGATGTTGGGAACGAAGGCTGCTTCAGCAGCTTTTGCAGCATGAACCATCGCATTATTAACTCGGTTTTCTACTAATTCAAAGGTACTATTTACATAAGTGCAACACTCTTGGCCTATTACAGCGCAGGCATCCCCTTCTGATGCTAAAACATAGTCAAGGGCTAATCGGTTCTGCATAACCATCAGTCGTAAATGATCTTGATTTCGGGCTATGGTCTTTATAGCGTTTCCCAGACTGGTTATGGCAGTTTCAGTTTCTAGGGCCAATATTTCAACTACCGCTTGTAGTCGCAGGGTATATCTTCCCAAACAGGAGATAGCTGGACCGGTAATTAGTGGAATTATTCCTGCTACAGAACACCCTATTAATTTTCCCACGGTTAAAGGATTTT